TTTTTGGGGGGAAAGAGGGGGTCCCCGGGCCTGGGAGGTCGGGAAAGGATTTCCTCCCCCCCCCCCGGCCCCGGCCCGGGGACCCAAAAAGCAAAAACACCCCCGGGGGGGGGAAACAAGGGGATGGGGGGGAGGGCCCCCGCTCCAGAAACCCCCCCCGGGCCGGGAAGGGACCCCCCCCAAGCCCCGCGCGCCCCCCTGGGGGATTTAGGATCGGGGGTTTCTTGGTCGGGGGGGGGACCCCAGAGACAAGAGCAAAAGGAGGCCCCCCGGGGGAACCGGGGAAGGAAGTTCGGGGCAAAAAGGGAGGGGGGGCTCCCCCCGTTGAGTCTTTTCGTTTTTCTAGGAGGGTCCTCGGGGGGCGGACCCGCCCGGGGGGGGGGGGCGGGGGGGGCGGGGGGCTTGGCGGGCGGGAACCTCTCACCCTTCAGGAGCGAGAGGAGGAAGCCAGCACCGAGCTTCCTCATGGCCCAGACGGTCCGCCCGCGTTCCCCGGACCAAAGCGGCCTCTAACGGGCCAAGCCAGAGAGCGCAGCGGCTGCGGCCAGCAGAGGGGAGCAGGGGGGCTGCTCTGACGTCACAGATGCCCGGGGGCGGGGCCTCCGAAACTGACGTGGGAGTCCTCGTGGGTTCAATTCCAGTTCGGGAGGAGAATGATTAAGGTACCACTGACGCTGTATCTTTTTTTTTTTTTTAAGCACAAAAACCCAAACATTTATTAGGCATCTACTCATTACAGGTGCTAGGCACTTTTTTTAGGTGCCTGAGATACATCAGTGATAAAATGGTCCCTGTCCACAGGAGTGAATATAAATGTCTCCAGGAACAGCACTGAAGAGAATATTTCCCTTTATGTGCCTGTAGGTTTTATTTTCAGTTATTACAGTGCATACCTCCAACACAGATTGCAATTGTTTACATGTCTGGGTTCCCTTCCTGGACTGTGGCTTTGGGATGGCAGGGGTGTCATAGCTTATTCGTCTGACACATGGCCGGCATTCAGTAAATGGCAGTAAAATGAACCAAGGAAACTGGACTGCCCAACAAGCTCTTGACGTCTAATATCTGAGGGAGACTGTGTTTATCTTGGTCTCAGAGGAAAATTGGTGTTTTTTTCCCAAATATCTTTTAAAAAATTTTTAATGAATTTATTGGGGTTTCATTGGTTAATAAAATTAGATAGGTTCCAAGTATAAAATTCTATAATATATCACCTGTACAGTGGGGCCTTGAGTTACGAGCTCCGTCACGGAATGAATTAAATTCGTAAGTCAAGGCCCCACTGTATATTGTATTGTGTGTTCACTACCCCAAGTTAAGTCTCTTTTGTCACCATTTACCCACCCTTTACCTTCTGCACCCCTTTCCCCTCTTGTATCACCATACTGTTGTCTGCTTTTTTCCCCCTTAATCCCCTTGCCTGCCTTTTTCACTCAGCCCCCAACCCCCTTCCTTCTGACAGCTGTCAGTCTGAACTCTGTATCTATAAGTCTGTTTCAATTTTTTTTGTTTATTTTGTTTATTAGATTCTACATATAAGTGAGATTATATGGTATTTGTCTTTCTCTGACTGGCTTATTTCACTGAGCATAATACTCTCCAGGCCCATCCATGCTATCACAAAAGGTAAGATTTCCTTCTTTTTTTTTGTTGTTAATCTTTACCAGAGGGCATTTTTTCCATTGCTTTTCAGAGAGAGTGAAAGGAGGGGGGAAGGGAAAGGGAGGGAGGGAGGAAAATATTGATGTGAGACACATCAATTGGTTGCCTCCCAAATGTGTAGAGACCAGGGGAGTGGGGAGTGAACTAGCAACCCAGGTACATGCCCTTGACCAAGAATTGAACCCAAGACCCTTGTGAGTGACCGATGCCCTAACCACTGAACACACCAGCCAGGGAAAGATTTCCTTCTTTTTTTACAGCCGAGTAGTATTCCATTGTGTAAATGTGCCACAGCTATTTTCCCACTCATCCGTGAATGGTCACTTGGGCTGCTTCCAAATCTTATCTATTGTAAATAATGCTGCAATGAACACAGGGGTGCATATATTCTTTTGAATTAGTGTTTCAGGTTCCTTCAGATATGTTCTCAGAAGTGGAATCACTGGGTCATAAGACAGTTCCATTTTCTTTTTTTGAGGAAACTCCCTACTGTATCTACAGTGGCAGCACCAATTGGCATTCCCACCAACAATGCACAAGGGTTCCCTTTTCTCCACATCCTTGCCAACACTTTTTTGTTGATTTATTTTATTTTATATTTTATTGATTTTTTTACAGAGAGGAAGGGAGATAGTTAGAAATGTCGATGAGAGAGAAAAATCAATCAGCTGCCTCCTGCACACCTACTGGGATGTGCCCATAACCAAGGTACATGCCCTTGACCGGAATTGAACCTGGGACCCTTCAGTCTGCAGGCCGACACTCTATCCATTGAGCCAAACCGGTTAGGGTGTTTGTTGATTTATTGATGACAGCCATTTGACAGGTGTGAGATGTTATCTCCACTGTTTTTTATTTATGTTTCTTGACATTGAACATCTTTTCATGTCCATTGGCCATCTTATGCCCCCTTATTGGTGAATATGTTCTCCATTCAGTGGGTTGTCTTTTTATTTTGTTGATGGCTTCCTTTGCTGTGCAAAACCTTTTTAGTTTGATGTGGTCCCATTTGTTTTTTTCTTTTGTTTCCTTTGCCCAAGGAGATACATCAGAAACAATATTGCTATGTTAAATGTTTGAAATTTTACTGCATCCCCTACTTGGGACTGAGCCCAGGACCTGGGCATGTGCCCTGAGCTGGAATTGAACCAGTGACCACCTGGTATATGGGACCACATTCAACGGAGCCACACTGGCCAGGCTCAACTGTTACTATTTTATTTTTTTTTAGATTTTTTTTTATTGCTTTTAGAGGGAGAGGGAGAGATAGAAACATCAGTGACGAAAATCATTGATTGGCTGCCTCCTACACACCCCCTACTGGGGATTGAGCCTGCAATCCAGGCATGTGCCCTTGACCGGAATCAAACCTAGGACCCTTCAGTCCACAGGCTGACGCTCTATCCACTGAGCCAAACTGGTTAGGGCACTGTTACTATTTTTTAAAGTAACATGCTGTTTTGATTACTATGGCTTTGTAGTATACTTTGATATCAGGTAGTGTGATTCCTCCAACTTTGTTCTTCTTTCTCAAGATTGCTGTTGCTATTTGGGTTCTTTTGTGGTTTCCTATTAAGTTTTAGTTCTGCGATATACACCATTGGTATCTTAATAGAAATTGTGTTGACTCTATAAATTGCTTTGGGTAGCCTAGATGTTTTAGTGATGTTCTAGTCATGAACATGGTATATGCTTCCACTTATCTTTATCTTCTTCAATTTTCCAAGTATAGGTCTTTTACATCCTTGGTTAAGTTTATTCCTAGGTGTTTCGGTGTTGTTGTTTTTTAATGTAATTATTAATGGGACTATTTTCTTACTGATAGTTCATTATTGGTGTATAAAAATGCAACCAATTTCTGGATAGTTATTTTGTATTCTGCTACTTTACTGAATTCATTTATCCGTTCTAGTAGGTGTTTTGATGGAATCTTTTTTAAAAAATATTATTTTGATTTTTTACAGAGAAGAAGGGAGAAGGGATAGAGAGTTCAGAAACATCGATGAGAGAGAAACATTGATCAGCTGCCTCTTGCACACTCCCCACTGGGTATGTGCCCGCAACCAAGGTACATGCCCCTGACCAGAATCGAACCCGGGACCCTTCAGTCCGCAGGCTGACGCTCCATCCACTGAGCCAAACCGGTCAGGCTGACGGAATCTTTATGGTTCTCTATACACAGTAACATGTCATCTGTAAATAATGAGTTTTACTTCTACCTTTCCAATTTGGATGCCTTTTCCCCTTTCTTTTGTGATTTTGTTCCCTCTCTCCTTTTAATCTTTGTTGAAAGTATTACATAGGTTCTCCTTTTCTCCCCATTAACCTCTTCCAGCCGTTCCTGCCTTCTTCTTGTCTGATCACTGTAGCCAGGACTTCCAATATTATGTTGAATGAGATTGGTGAAAGCCAACATCCCTGTCTTGTTCATGATCTTAGTTTTTGCCCATTGAGTATGATGTTGGCTCTGGGTTTGTTATATATGGCATTATGTTGAGGTGTGTTTCCTCTATTCCTACTTTGTCAAGAGTTTATATCATAAATGGGTGCAGCCATTATGGAAAACAGTATGGAGTTTCCCCTCCAAATTAAATATGAAGCTGCCATTTGACCCAATGATCCCACTTCTAGGAATATATCCTAAGAGACCCGAAACACTAATCAGAAAGAATGTATGCACCTCTATGTTCATAGCAGTGCAATTTACAATAGCTAAGATCTGGAAACAGCCCAAGTGCCCATCAGTAGATGAGTGGATAAAAAAACTATGGTACATTTACAAAATGGAATACTATGCAGCAGTAAAAAAGGAGCACTTACCCTTTGAGACAGCATGGAGGGACCTAGAGAGTATTATGTTAAGCAAAGTAAGCCAGTCAGAGAAAGACAAGTATCACATGATCTCACTTACATGTGGAATCTGATGAACAAAATAGATCCAGAGACATAGAAGCAGGGAACAGACTGGAATCTCAGAGGGAAGGTGGGTTGGAAGAGATCAACCAAAGAACTTGTATGCACATATCCATAACTCATGGACACCGACAATAGGATGGTGAAGGCCTGGGGAAGGGGTGGAGGCAGGTTAGAAGAGGTTACTGGGGGGGAAAAGGGGACATATGTGATACTTTCAACAATGATTTTTAAAAAAATGTGTGCTGGATTTTATCAAATGCTTTTTCTGCATCTAATACGATCATGTAATTATTATCCTTCATTTTGTTTATGTGGTATACCATGTTTATTGACTTACAGGTAATTGTATGAGCCTTGTATCCCTGGACTAAATTCTACTTGATCATGGTGTATGATCTTTTTTAATGTATTGCTGGATCTGGTTTGCTAATATTTTGTTGAGAATTTTAGCATCTATGTTAATCAGGGATATTGACTTATAATTTTTTCGTTGTAGTGTCTTTATCTGGTTTTGGAATTAGGATAATGTTGGCCTCATAAAATGAGCTTGGGAGTCTTCCATCCTCTTGAATTTTTTGAATTAGTTTGAGAATTATAGGTCTTAGTTCTCCTCTGAATTTTGATAAAATTCACCTGTGAAGTCATCCGGTCCAGGACTTTTATTTGTTGGGAGTTTTTTTTATTACCTTTGATGGAGTAGGCCCTGTGTTATCTTTTTAAAAATGTATTTTTATTGACTTCAGAGAAGGGAGAGGGAGAGACAGAAACATCAATAATGAGACAGAATCATTAATTGGCTGCCTCCTACATGCACCCCACTGGGGATCCAGCTCATAACTTGGGCATGTGCCCTGACTGGGAATTGAACTGTGACTCCTAGTTCATAGGT